CAGGTGGACAGGGAGGAGAGGGGTAAGACGAGGAGGTCATAAGGGACCAACGGGCTTGATCTCCCGGAAGAGTGAAGAGACACAGAGCTCCAGCCATATGACTGTGGTTCTAGTTGAAGAAGAGTGAGGAGACATGAGCACGCATGGGTGCTGGGTGAGAGACGACATTCCGAAAGGTTTTATAGTGCCTAGGAAGGTCTCTGTTGCTTACACTGAGTCAAAGGGAAGTCAACGAAGCATTAATAGTGTTCTGAAGTCCAATCTAGTTGTGGTAGAGATGGATTACAGAAGAGCTATGGTGGGCAGAATTCCATGGACTATCCCCAGTATTCTTGCCTTGTAATTATTCAGTGCAAGGCTGGTCTAGGCACTCCTGTGGGGGGACTTTGCCGATTGAATTAGCATTACCAATTGGCAGACCTTAAAATAGATTGTCCCAGATTATACAGATGGAACAAATCTCACCACTGTGTCCTTGGAGTATTGGAGCCCTCCGTCTGGAGAGAGAATGGAAGGACTGAGGGAGGTAGAAGAATGATGAATCTACAGAGGGTACCAGAGAGATGTGAAGTGTCCAAAGGCTTAGACCTGACCTACTTTGGGGATGCAGAAGGATGTAAGGAGCCAAGAACAGGGGTTCACTTTAAGAATTGGCAACTGCTCCCAAACATAGGATCAAGAAGGAATCAGGGTCTCATGTCCACATGAAATTGAATTCGGTCAACAACTTTGGATAGTTCAGTCACTTGCAGTTTGCAGAAAGGAACGTAGCCCTATCAGCACCGACTCTGTGAGACCTGGGCCAGCACCCATACCTGTGGGGATCTCTATGGAGACAAGACAGTTTTCAGCTGCTGAGTCTGTGATAACCTTTAATAGCAGCAACAGAGAGCTGATGCAGGAGTAAGGGCATCAATTGAAAAATTAGGACAAAAGTCTACCAACAGATGGTGGCATGGGTCAGGCAAAAGTATGGAGACATACAAGATTGGTCCCTGTGTTTACTTTAGAGGTAGAGGCAGGAGGATTTGGGTCTGAGAAATGGGAAGGATGGGGCTTTCTTTGAGCAGTCATCCGTGGAAGGAACAGTTTGCAAAGATAGATATGAAGAGGTGGCCGGAAGCAAATTATATACAGGCTTCTGAATCAATAATTTTAAACTTTATCATAAAATAAAATTACTTAATTCTTTCCAGTAGTCAAATATGAGAGACAGATTGGCACTTAATGGTGCTATTGGTCATTCTTTATTGTGTACGTTTACTTGACCAGTTATTATCAATGATCTACTACCAGCTGATAAACACAAAGGTGAAATTTGTGGGTTCCATCTGCTAACAAGGCAGCATGGTTTCTTTTTCATTTGTCAAGCCTGCACACAAAGACAAGATAGTAAAACTAAACAGAGTAAAAGGAAGAAATGAAATTAAAATAATTTGCAAATAATGATTTTCTTTACAAAACTCTAAAACAAGGTACCAGAAAATTGAACGAAACTAATGAGAATACTTAGCAAACTTGTTGGAAACTAAACCAAATAAATGTCAGTATGCACACCACAATACCAGCAACAGTTGAAAAATCAGAATCAGAGAGGTAGTACTTAAAATAGTGCAAGGAAAATACCTAATAATGAACAGAACAGAAAATAGGCAAGCTCATTATAGATAAATATTATTGAGGAAAATTTAATTACATGTAAAGGTAGATCATAATTGATTAGAAAATGCAAACATTTTTAGAGTTCATTCTTTGTAATTTAATTCAATGTGATTCCAGTCATGTCCCCACAGACTTTTCAAGTTTCTGAAAATTGGCAGGCTGGTAATAAATTTTATATATTCAGGAAGCCAAGAAACAACCAAGATTTTATGAATGAAAAGAAATATTAGTTGACGGATACCCCAAGTAAACACGCTTTATTCAATGCTGTGGGTAGCAAGGTATGCCACAGAGGCTGAACATCCTGGGATGAAACACCCATAGTGGGAAATTGGATATGGTGTTCTTCACTATGTGGTGTGTGGTGTGATAGCCTCTTGCTATGGTGGTTCCATGAGCCTTGGTATGGGTAGTGAGCTGTGTAAGGCAAACTGAAACACCAGGAGTGGAATGTCATGGGGAGGAGGAGAATTCTTATATTCATATATCTCCTATATGGTATGGAGTGATACTTCCTCAATGAATGGGGTCCAGCTATGGCTATGGCAACACCCTTGACAATAGTACAAAATGAACTCAGCCCATAGCTTCCATAGTCTTATAGTTCTGATACCGCTCAAGATCCAAGGTCTTTTCTAGAGTGCAAGATGGCCAGTTAACAGCGAGGCTTTGTAAAATGAACAGATTGAAAGCCAACATGTGCATGCTTCCAATGCACAGTGATACAGAGGAAACACCCTTGTTTCAAAGGAGAGGAAAGGGGACACAAGAGAGAAAGATCGGATCAAAGCAAGGGCACACCAGAGCATAACACACACTACACTGTACAGCTCCAATCCAGGGCCTGAAACATCACCTGTACCCCGTGGCCGCCAACCTTCTTTGTCAGCTTGGCTCCATTTAGGTTTAACCAGGAGACACCCCTTGGTACAGCTGTGAGGGTGAGGAGATAGATACTCCCTTGGTATAGCTGTAAGGGGTGTTTAATTAAAGGGGAAGACTTAGCCTGTCTCTCAGGTTTCTGCTGCTATGATAAAACACGGAGACCAAAAGCAACTTGAGTTATTTCAGGTTATACCTCCACATCACAATCCATCACTGAGAGAAAACAGGGCAGGAACCTGGAGGCAGGAGCTGATGCAGAGGCCATTGAGAATGCTGCTGACTGGCTCTACCCCCTCAATGTTTTCTCATCCTGCTTTCTTAGTCACTCTAGGACCATCCTCCTCCAGCTGGGCCCTTCCACACATGGATCACCAAATAAGAAAATGCATCACAGGCTTGCCCACAGGCCAGTCTGGTGAGGGCATTTTCTCAAATGAGGTTTCCTCTCCCAGAATGACTCTAGCTTGTGCCAAGTTGACATAAAACTAGACAGAAAACACACCCTGAGTATGGATGGCACCATCTGTAAGCTGGAGTCTGTTGTATTGGTCTCCTCTGAGATTGAAACATTCCATCATATACAGAAGCTCCTTAAGCAGGAAAGTAAACAGCAACAACAAAATAGCTTCAGGAAGTCCCCGAAACTGACCAGCTTCGATAGGCTCCTCCCTCCCAGAGTACACAAGCCAAATTGTAAAGAAAATTCTGAGACCAGACCTACTTCCTGGGAGAAGCAGAAGCCATCTATACTGCCAGAAGTTTAATACCAGAGTAACTTGGAAAGGACACTCTCTGATCTGTTGAGCTGACTGCAGGCTGTACAATGTAATCCAGGTTCCCAGCTTTGTGAGCTGTCAGAATCCATAATTTGGGTCTAATTTGAGATAGTAGACATGAGTAGTGTCTCCTCAGAAGTCTTGTCATATAACAGAGTCTCAGAATGAATAAAGAGGGAAAAAGGAGACAGCCATCTGAGCACCAACATGTGTCTCTTGCTGCCACCTGAGTGCCCACAACCGAAGCTTCACTGCCATGAGTGACTGTACTTCCACACTGTGAACCAATGTGAATTCTTTTTTAAGTTGCTTTTGTTAGGTTCTTCATCATTGCAATAAGAAGAGTAGTGATCAAATAGCAAGGGAAGAGCAGAGCAAATGCCAGCACCCAGCAGGGAAAACACCAAACCCTCAAACTCCAAGTCAAACCCCTCGGGGGCTGTGGTCATACCATCTAGTCTCTAATTATACAATTGAGAGCATATATGCACTCTTCCTTGGTGTCCTAGCTTGTTTTCTAACTGCTGTCATTTAAAAACTCATGCACCAAAGCAACTTGGTGAGGAATGGATTTATTTGACTTATGCTTCCATGTCTCAGACCGCTATCAAGGGAAGCCAGGACAGGAGCTCACGACAGCAACCTGGAGGCAGGAACTGAAGCAGAAGCCGGTGACGAATGCTGCTTATAGGTTTGCTCCTCAGGGCTTACTCAACTTGTTTTTTTGTACCACCCAGGACCTCCTGGCCGAGGATGACTGCCCATAGTGGTTGGAGCCCTCATTAATCAGTGCCCCCCTAGACCTTCCTGCAGGCAACGAGATGGAGACAATCCCTCAGTTAAGGTTCCCACTGCCCATGTAACTCTAGCTTGTGTAAAGTTGTGAAAAAAGCACGCTTACGTTGACTTCATTAAGTCCCTGCAGATTTCCTTTGTGATGGCCCACGTTTGTGGCACCTCTCAGACCCTGGGTTCTTTTTAAAGCTTTGATGTCACCTTCACAGCTTCACAGTGCTCACTTCAGAACTCTATGCAGAGATGCCAACCCTGCTACACATTGTTTGGCCTTGGTAACTTCATGCAGCCTTCATACAAGTCTCCATGCCTTGATAGCACTTATATTTTGCGTGCTTGCAAAACCAAAACCATATAGATGGCATCTAGCTGTACTCCCGGATTAAGATGTAGTCTGGATCCCTTGAGTCATAACTGCAGGAACTTGTGGTACATTCTCAGCCGAATCTATAAAACCAATTCCCTGGGCAGTCATTTTCTGTCAGGGTCCTGATAGACTCTGTCTTTCTAAGAGTCGAATCTTCCTACCTTCTCCTTTCACATACATTTAATTGCAACCCTCTAGAGCTCTGGAATGGTGTGACTTCGCCCTCGAGATACCTTCCCTACTGTCTCAGTGCAAGCACATGTGTTCTCTTTAATTGTGTTAATCTCTCTAAAAGTTACTGATACATCGTCTGTACCACCTTTACCCACACTATGATTGTTCTCTGCAACTTTAAACCTGCTCAGACTTCTTTCCCTGCCAAACTGAACAGTTTTCCTTGCTCCACTTTCTGTTCTCACTGTAAACTTGGCTAAGAGCAGTGAGCAGTAACCAGGTCAAAACCTGCATGTCATGTCATCCTGAAATAGCCACAGTCAAACGATTTCAGTTCATACCTTTAAAATTCAAATGCAGCCAGTTTCTGAAGGGGACTCCTGCATAGTGGGGGCTCCTATTCAGACCCTGGATTAGATACAAACACATCCGCACACCTGTTTCCACAGAGAGATCCCTTATTAGTGAGGGAAGAGAAGTTGAAGTGGCTGCTTTCTGACTCAGGCAGAAAATCAGCAGTGAATGACCTTGCAGGCATCAGTTTTAAGAAGAGGAACAAAGGGGGGGTCTGTGTTACAATGGGCTAGGACACAGTGGTAAAGGAGATGGAGGGCAAGGGAAAGGGGGCGGGAATATTTGTTCCGGGAGACAAAGGACTGCCTCTAGATAGAGAGGAGACAGATATGGCCCATAGGCATAGATGGTTTATAAAGCCAAAGAGGAAACCCTGTGTTAGGATGAGGTGTTTAATTTTAATTGGTAATGCTAGTTAGGCAAACCAAAGGGGGATTCTGATTGTTGGACCTTGGTAGTCAGCCTCAGCAGGAGGACATGGCCAAATAAGGGAATAGACCTTGGTGACAGCTTTAGGAACGTCATCTAAGGGTTTTTAGCAAGGAGAGGGAATGGGGGAGAAGGCCAAGGCCTGCCAGAGTCACATGCTTGAGGGAGCCAGGGTCCCATTAGTTTCTTTACCACAGTGTAACACTAATACCCTCTATCCCAAGTCCCAATACTGCCTTGTCCCCTCTGAAACCCCATCCATGAGCCTGGCCTTCCCCACCCACATTTCAGTCATCATTTTGGCCTCTAGAACATCTACCAGAAGGGCCTATTACACTCCACTTACAGCATTCTAGGGATTCTCACCTACAATTCCAAACTCTCCAACAATCTTGCTGTGGACCAGTTCAGAAGACCTGGGAGCCATAGCCATGTGCTGAGATATCTGTAAGTCACAGCAACGACGTTACCTCTCAGTGTCCATTCATGGTGGAAGACCTGCTTCTCCTGCCGTGCTCTTCCACCATGATTGACCATGAGCTAAGATGAATCCTTCCCTCTTTGAGTTGCTTTTAGAACGTAAATGATCACAGATATAAGAAAAATAACGATGACGACAACAACAGTGACAAAAATTGTGCAGAGAAGCAGAGTTGTTGCTGTGGCTTAGGGGTGCCTGGCCATACGTGGTAGCAGGGGCATGAGGCTGCTTTCCTGCATCCACGCTGACCCAAACAGAGGCAGGCGCAGAAGGGGCACACCCCCCCCCAAACAGCATACTCACCTATGGACCAAATGTTGAGTCACTCGAGCTTTGGGGGAACATTTCACATCTCTTCTGGCTGCCAATAGTCTCTTCACAGCCACCCCTGTGTGGATTGGGTGAGAAAATTCAGTTAGTTTTAAATGGAAGCATTAGATCTGAATGGGTTTGGCTTAATGTCTCACTGATAAACTTGACAGTCCACTATCCTGCTGCTTGCTGTATTTCTATCTCTGACAAATAATATCTGTGCCGCGTCCATACATAAAATCCCTTTCTTTTCATTTTGCTTCTGTCTTCTCATTTTGAATTATCTTTGACGTCTTTCCCTCCCTCATCCAGGACCGGCTACCATAGCAGCGTCTATCTCAACCATCAGTCACATGTCCTTGTTCTGGGCTCAGTTTAAATGAATTCAGTAAATACCTATTATTTGTTCTGGGCTCAGTTTAAATGAATTCAGTAAATACCTATTATTTACCGGTGGGTGTACAGTGCATCACAGTCCTTATTTAAAAACCAGCCACAGATCTTTTCTTTCATCTCCCTGCTTACAGCTTAGGCTATAGCAGGCTGCGCCAACAAGAAACTTGATAAGAACAGATGAAATGAACGGAAGGATAAAGGCAGAACACACGCACAAAGCACATGATTCAAACTTGCCTAGAAAACAGCAGCAGAATCTCTTTTGTCACAGCTTTGCTGCTGTTGCCACTTTTTCATACCCTAAGACACCTTGTTTTAGCGTGCTGTCCGGCTGAATATTCTGAATGCAACTGGGATTCTATGGCTAGAAAACAAAGCCTTTGGTATATTCATAGGACAAGGTGCACGTGGGGAGATTAATATTAGACACCTGTTTTCTTTAAACTCTTTTATGATTTACAGCACATATAGTTTCATTAAAATGTGTCACTTTAAGAGATTTGAGGTCAAGAGTTTCCAAAGTTCTGAGTGAGATATTTGTGACTTACAAGAATCTAACTGAGATGTGATTGTTTAAATATGCTAGAGACCAGTTGTCGCTGATCTATAGGCGAGAATGCCTATGCCCTTGGAAGGCAATGGCCCAGAGCTAACCAAAGCTCAGAGGAGAGGGTCTCGATGACTCTGATAAGTATCATGCTAAAAGTCTCATTAGGAACCTAATAACCTAGTTGTAGCTTTTAATCCAGACATTTACCTTATTACTTAGTCCCCAAGACATGGATGAGCAATTCCTGGTATATTTGGTACAAATGGACATATTACTCCAAAAGGAGGTTGCAAATGACCATGTGACAATGAGAGTTACAACCCGCAGATATTTAGTCTGCCTCTGTGAAGAACAAGCGTGTGTCACACGTGGCTAGCTTAAAATCGAGTTCTGGAATTGGCATTTGGAGACATTTACGAGTATGTGCACTCTTCAATGGTTTATATAGTCTTGTTCAGTCTGGTCTCCCCCTTCCTTGCAACTGCTGTTCCCACATTCATTCTCTTCCAGCCCCCGGCCTTTTAGTGGCTGTAGATTCTCCCAGAGTCCCAGCTTCTTAAATAGGGGTGTAACTGCCTATTTAATGTCTTTGTATCTCTCCTGTAACAGTGCCGTGAGGTTAGAGATGGACCTCTTTTACCAGGGATAGCAGGGCGCAAGGATGTGGTTTTCCAGCACTTACGAGGTAAACAAACCCCCTGACTTCTCTAATTTGTAATCATTTAAAAACAACAGCTTTCATTTAATGTAATATATCACTGTGGTAAATCCTTCTAATCGTACCCACGTTTTATCAAAGGAAATGTGAAGTGTGATGGTCGTGGTCCCCTGTCCCGCTTACATGCACCAGTCTCCTCTTAGCCCCTGTTAATCGGTGTCAGAAGTGACCCTTTCCTTGTGCCCTGGATTTCAACATCTTGGTGTGATCTCCTCTGGGACACATTTCTTTGCATGGGCAGTCGGGGAGGAGGCTTGGCGGTGCAGCTCCTAAGAGTGGCCAAAATGTTGCAACAGCTGAGGGCGAGGGTAGCAGTGTGACCAGGCAGAGCCGTGGCGGGGTGCCAGGGACGCTGAATCAGTCATGGCTTCTTAAGGCCAAATGCACGCTCAGGAAAACAAGAGGCAAAGCAAAGGTCAGAGTGAAGCAGCCGCGGGGTCAAGTATGCTCTGGCAGGGGCTAGCAGCAAGGAGGCCCCAGTCACCGGATATCCAGAAGTTTGTTAGTGTTTGCCGGGACCAGGGATCGGGCTGTGGGGCACACCAGTGGGCCAGCAAGGGCGAAGCAGAGCTTCATCTGTGTTAACCATGCTCTCTGTCTAGTGTAGTGGCTGTTCCCTCGGTCCTCTGATTCGCTTCGGCAGACTATAAACTGTGCTGACGCTCCACCGAGGAAACACCAATCTCTGTGTCACTGCAAGGCTCTTTTTTTTCTGCTAGGCTGGAGGTGAAATTCATGTGCTAGGCAAGTGCTCCTCCCCTCCCCCGCCCCCAACACACGTATAAGCTCGGGGTCTCTGCTGTTCACCTCCCATTCACCGCCCCGTCACCCACAACAGCCTCTTCGCTGTCATTGGATACAGATGACACGTGGTTTTTTTTTCCCTCTGAACCGACTCTTTACAGACCACCTCTTCCTCCGGGGCCTCTCCAGCATGCCTGTCTGCTGGCTCCCGTCTCCTGAGCCTCATCGGTTCTTTTAGTTTGTGACGCCGTATCCCTCACCCAGCCGTTAGACATCCGCCAACATTGTACGGTGGATAACTGGTTATGCACGTCTGCCTTGTCCTCCACAGTTCATCAGCTTTCTTAGCATGGCTTTTTTTTTTTTTTGTCTCTCATACAATACATCCCAAGTGCTGTTTCCTCTCCCTCCACCCCCACTCCCACAAACCTTTGTACCTCCTCCCTCCCCATATCCATTCCTCCTACTGGTCCCTTCAGGAAAGAGCAGGCCTCCCAGGAGTATTAACTGGACAGGGCATAACAAGATTCAATTAGAAAACGCACAAACCCTCATATCAAGGCTGGACAAAGCAACCCAGTAGAAGGAAAAGGGTCCCAGGAGCAGGTGAAAGAGTCAGAGACAGATCCTGCTCCCACTGTTAGGAGTCCCACAAAAACATCATGCTAACAACCATAAAATATACACAGAGAACCTAGCACAGACCCATGCAGTCGAGCAGTGATTATCACTTCAGCCTTCTGTGAGCCATGCTAGTTGATTCTGCAGGCTGTGTTCTCCTGGTGTCCTCAACCCCTCTGGTGCCTACAATTCTTCCTCCCTCTCTTCCACAGGGTTTTCAGAGCTCCAGGGGGACCAGATAGCCTGGAGACCTAGGATAGAAAAAAATAAACCAATAACATGATTTCTAAAGATATTCTGCTATACTCATAGACCGGTGCATGGCCCAGTCGTCATCCGAGAGGCTTCCTCCAGCAGCTGACAGGAGCAGATGCAGAGAGCCACAGCCAAACTTTAGCCAGAGGGAGAGCCCAAATTAGAGCTCTCCACTGGGCTCTAGCATGGCACTTAAAAACAAAGCCTACTCAGGACTTGCCCAGGGTTGTTCCACCACCTAACCTATTCCTAGATTATCTTATTGACTCCTTTAAAAATGGTTTCACATGAAAACATCTTTCTTATTGTATCATATGTTGATAGAAACCATCTACTGAGTGATTCCTGTTTGCTTGGCACTCTGCTGGATATTTTACTTGTATTTATTTATTTGTTTAGATTTATTTTGGTTTGTAGGTGTTTCTTGTCATGGTTGAGGTACTGTGAATGTATAATTTCAGGATACAATATCTAGAAAAGAGTATATAATTACTTAATAAACAATGAAGCCAGGGTTTGGAATTATCCTCTGTGCCTATAGTGTAGAAGGCCTTTTCTTTTGAGCTACCAACCAGCTCTCAGATCATAACACAGAGACTTATTATTAGTTATGAATGCTTGTCTTAACTTAGGCTCATTTCTGGCTAGCCCTTGTTTTGTTTTGTTTTGTTTTGTTCTTCCAGGCAGGGTTTCTCTGTGGCTTTGGAGGCTCTCCTGGAACTAACTCTTGTAGACCAGGCTGGTCTTGAACTCACAGAGATCCACCTGCCTCTGCTTCCTGAGTGCTGGGACTAAAGGTGTGTGCTACCACCACCCGACTGCCTATTGGATTTTAAAAGGGCAAAGACAGGTCCACCTGCACAGATACTACTGTTGTGGTAGCCTCCTCCACTCCCAAGAGACATCACACAACTAGAACACTAGCCACTCCACAGGATACAAGCTGGAGAGTTTCAGGAGTGTGGGAAATCCTGTCCAAGACAGAACCTAGTAAGCCGCGCGTGGCTAGTGGAGCATCCCCTACTCAAGGAAGGGAAAGTTAACAGTGAAGACAACTTTGAAAGACATCAGAAATTGATCCAATACAGGCTCAGTACCAGCATAACTCATAGGACAGGCAGGAGCTCACAAGTTCCAATAGCTCATCTTTCATCCACAGGACTGCGCGAGGATGCCCCAGCTGTAAAACACAGAGGGAGCCGCACTTACACTTCTCTTTCCCCCTTATTTATTTTTGCCCTTTCTGTTTCCCCATTTCTCCTTTTCTATGCTTATCATGGAATCTTTACGTTATCATTCCTTAAATTATGTTTTCAGCTTTTATTTCCTGCCGTACATTTATCTAACTGTGCTTACACATATTTGTTATTGAGCAATCTTTTTCTTTTAGTCTTTTTCATTATTCTTTTGGCACCCTGCCTTTCTCCTTTTTGCTGTCTGCTAAAATTCTATACTATTTTGATTTTAAATTATTATTGTTAAGCTTTGGTGTTTTGATGTTTTTATTCCTTTGTGTGATGGTTAGTGTCAATTATCACCTAGGAGATGAGTTTGCAGACACACCTGCAAGGTGTGATTCCCGATTATTTTAATTTATGGGCACACCTTTGAGTGATGTTTTAACCTCTGGGCACACCTGTGAGGGACGTTTTAACCTCTGAGCACACCTGTGAGGGATGTTTTACCTCTGGGCAAGTCTGTAAGGGATTAGGTTGGTTAGGTTGACTAAGGTGGAGGCACCTACACTAAAGGTGGGTGGCACCATTCCCCAGGCAGAGAGCCTGCATTATATAAAAGGGAGAAAGGGAGCAGAGCATTCATCCCCCTGCTTCTGGACCTGGACCCAGCTGCCTCCGGCTCCCCATCAGGATGAGCTGTAACATTGAACTGTGGGCCAGCATAAGGCCTTCTATTTTTTGAATTGCTTTCTCTGGGCATTTTTTTCCCACAACAACAGGAAAAGTAAGTAAGACAGAAAAGTGGTACTGAGCAGTGTGGCCATTGTGTGATAACCCTGACCATGTGGCTCTCAGGCCTTTCTAGGAATGTGAAGGAGTCTGGAAGCACAGGCTTGCAGAACCCTTGATTCTGTAAGCACAGTTTAGTGGCCATTGGAGGAGAAGATGCTGAGACAGTGGACGTGTGGCCAGCGGATCATGAGAGGAGTAAGGAGTCTATCAGGAACTGGCTAAGGGACCACTTGTGTGATATTTTGATCAAGAATCTAGCTTTGTTTTGCCAGTTGTCCTGAGAACTTGAATGGGGTTGAATTCAGATGTAATGGGTTAATTTGTTTGCCAGAAGAAACTTCAAGACAGGAGAATGTTCAGGCTGTTGCTGAGGAAGTGACTGGATGTTAGTGAGAGCAACATAGAGTAAAGGAGACTTCTACATCACACTGGAACAGGAAGGGTGTCGGGAGGGCAAACCCCCAGCTTTGGAGGCTCCTTCCAGACTCATTTCAGAAAAGAAAGTCTAAACCAAAGGATTTCCCTGGTGTTTGAACACAGCTTCCCATGGGAGTTTTTCCCTGTGTTAGCGCATAGAAGCTGTACAGTTGTGGCCCAAAGGGGCTACATCTCAGCTGGTAGCAGAATTTGGCAACATCACCTGCATGGCGTTAGTATTTCAGGCATGAAAACCTGAAATCAGAGAGGTCGTGGGGTCTTTCTGCATGGTTTCAGAGAGTAGCCAAGACCAGGAAAGGCCACTTCAGGGAGGTGTGAAGATGAGGCTAAATTATAATGCAGACCCCTGATGTTAGAGATGACAGAAGGTGGGATGCATGCTGGGAAAACTGCGGGCACAGAAGGGAGCTGACCCAAATGAGAATCTGTGTGTGTTGCAGGCAGCAGACAGAGGGGGACAGGGGGAGGGAGATGGCGAGGGAGAGGGAGAGGGAGGAGGCGGGGCTACCTAAGATGTGGGGGCCTGTGTTGATTCCATTACAAATCCCAAGATACCAGATGGAACCTTAGGATTCAGTGTTTTCCTTGCTAGAGTTTGGTTTTTCTTTGGTGTCATTATACTTACTTCCATGGCAGGTGGGCCTCTTTGACCTTTTATATCTGTTAGTGTTTATTTTATGAAATTATGTGAAAGGGGATCAATCAATATTGTAAAAATGGCATGACACTCAAAGAAATCCTTGTCAAAATTTCAGCCAATCTTCACAGAACTAGAAAATACAATTTTAAAATTCTTATGGAAGAAAAAAACCCACCCACCCCCCAAAGACCCTGAATATCCAAAACAACCCCTAAGTGGAAATGTCAATGTTGGAGGCATCACAATCTGACCTCAGACTACACTAAGGAGTCATAATCATGAAAACAGAATAGTACTGGTACAAATATAGATGTGTAAGCCTTCATCTAAACCCACACAGCTACTGCCTAAGCTTTGACGAAGTATGAAGAATAGACTATGCAGGGCCCCTTCAACATGAAACTACTAGAGGAAGACACCAGCGAACACCAAGGTATGGACAGTGACTTTCTGACCAGGACACCAGGTGCACGGGAAATGGTCCTGAGAACTGAGAGATGGGATTTCGTGGATGAAAAATGATCTGCATAGCAAGCAGAAGATTCACCCAAGTGAAGAGATGGCCTACGAATGGACAAAGTATCAACTGTCACCCTGACAGGGAATTAGTTTTTAGAATCTATAATGAACTCCAAAAATGAAATCCCAACCCTCCAAGTCACAATCTATAAAGAGGTTAATGAACTGACCAGATCATTCTCAAAGGAAGAAATGCAAATGCTTAGTAACTGCTTGCAAAAAATGTGCAGCATCCTTAGCCACCAGGGAAATGTAAAGTAAAACATCTCTGAGATTCCAGTTTGCCCCTGTCAGACTAGCTATGATTAAGAGAAGAAGAAAAGCTAAGTGATTGCAAGGGTGTGAGAAAAGAAACTTGGTGTAAAGGGGTGAAGATGGGGTGCATAGTCACAATAGAATTTTATTTAGCTGCAAGGAAAAATGAAACATCATATTCACAGAAAAATGGATGGGACTGGGGATCAATATTAAAAAACAAAATAAAAAATCAAGAATCAGAAAGGACAAATGTCATGTTTTCTTTCCTGTGTGGAATATACATTTATTTATAAGCACATACAGGACATTAAAGTAAAAAAGGGACCATGAGAGCAAAGAAGGGAGTCAAAAAGGAGGAAGGAGGAGAGAACAAGAGATTATCTATATTATAAAGAGAAAGCGTAAGAGTTGTTCAGTAGCTTGGATCAGAAACCACAGAAGACTGCTGGTTACTGGCCTTCTTGACTTGCTCATCTCATTTTCTTATACTGCCCCTGTTTACCTACCTAGGGATGACGCCACCACAGCAGGCTGGGTGCTCCTAAATCATTAGCAAGTAAGAAAATGTCTTAGGGACATAGCCACGGGTCACTCTGACCTGGGCAGTTCTTTAGTCGAAGCTCCTCTTTCCAGGGAACTCTAGGTTTGTGTCAGCTTGACAGCTGATGTTAACTGTGACAAGAGGAAACTGCGGGGAAGAAGGGGACCAGGAAGAGGGAGAGATGGGCATGGGGCAGTGTAGAGTGTAGTTTTTCCCCACCGGTTGCCTGGGCCCTGCCACGCTGTCTGAACCCCCAAGTAACACACAGGACACTATATTAATTATAAAGCTATTGGCCGTTTGCTTGGTTTCTTACTGGCTAGCTCTGATTTAAGTATTTAACCCATAATTGTTAATCTAAGTATTTCTCTTACCAGAGAAAAGGGTCCAGACCTCTTACTCCTCTGGCTGCCTACATGGTATCTGACTCTGCCTCTCTTTCCCAGAATCCTCCTTGACTCCTAGTCCCACCTATCTTGCTTCCCTATTGGCCAACAGTGCTTTATCCAACAACCAATAAGAGACAGATTTCAGAATGACATCTCCCATCAGGGCAGGACAGTGAGAACAGGAGACAAGAAGAACAAAGTGTAAAGATCTACCTGTAAGTGTGAAAATGACACAATCAAATCTAGTTCTTTGTACGCACATCAAAAAATGAATCTTAAAAGCTCTCGTCACGAGATGCCTGGCCTTTTTTTTCCTAGAAAGTTTGGTATGCTGTGTCTTCATGTTCATTTATTTTAAACATTTGCTAATTTCCCTTACTCCTTCTTATAAAAGCACTAAATATTAGGGAGTTTATTAATTTTTTCTGTTTCTGATTTCTCATTTCATCCCATTTTGGTTGAAGACCATGTTTTCTGCCTATGACTTTATCAATACCTTTTAAATCCCCTGCCACGTGGTCTGTACTGGAGAATGGTCTGTGTTCTTGGCAAGTTTTCTGCTGTTGGTGGTGGTATCCTTCAGCTGTGTGTGTCAGGGGACTTGAAGACTTCCTCTCTTTATTTCATGCATTCTGCTTCACTTGTTTTTAGTCCCTTATTGTGAGGTGTAGAAATAGCCAAATTTGTCGCGTTTTCAGATTGACTCTTATCTATAATCAATATCTCTTGCCTGTTATCCATTGTCATTTTGTCATTATCTGTCTCCTCTAGTAACACTTTGACAAGCTCTTTCTTTGGTGTTAACGTGGCCACCATGTGTTTATTGTTCTTGCTTGCCCAGTGTAACGTCTCCCCGTTCATGCACCTTCATTCTGTTTATATCTTTAGATCTGAAGTGTGTGGGCCTTGTGTCTTTAAATCCAGTGTGACAATATTTGACTTTCTGTCGGCTTGCCTAATCTATTCACAGTTATTATTGATAATTGGATTTGTGTCTTTGTTTTTATTATTCTGCCTATCTTTTAAAAATTATTTTATTCATTGCCTCTTTTCTTTTGCAGTAAGTAAATATTATCTCACTTAAAATCTCACATTCTTTAGCGATCTCTAGAACTCTAAGCTCATATTATATCTCCTGTTTTGTTAGAATCCACTTGAAAATGCTTAAGAAACTCATAAATCCACCTCCTATGTGTCTCTCATCACTTCCCAATTTCTTCCTCTCTTCTTCGTCCTCCTCCCCCTCCTCAATTCATTTAGCGTTATTATTACCATCATTATTAATCTGCACAAATCTGTGCAGATTGACTAATCTCTGTAATAAACTCAGAGGATGAAGGAGAATGAGAATGTTTATAGAATATACTCTATTAATCGTAGTTCTCATTTCAAGATCTTTTCATTCCTTACTGTGAATCTCAGTTGCTGTCTAGAAGAAAATTTCATACAACTTTGTTCCCAGCCACTTACCTTGTGCTCTTTTGCCAAATTATAATATTTCTGTATGTTTTCAAAACATAATACATACATATTGTTATATACTGCTGTATTTTATTCAGTTAACAAAGTGTAAATATGCATTTATACTGTCCTTTAGAAATACATAATGAAGATTACAGTACTCTTAAAATGTGGTGTGTGTGTAAGAAAGAGAGGGAGAGAGAGAGAGAGAGAGAGAGAGAGAGAGAGAGAGAGAGAGAGAGAGAGGGCCTGCTTTGAAATTTTAGTGTTTTTGGCAACAACTACTCACAGTTAATTCTCTGGCAATGTCCTTATTCCACTTTTGCTTTTGAAAGCTAGTTTCTCTGAACATAAAATCCGGGTTGAAGTTTTTGTCTTGTGAGAACTCTGCCTGTGCATTGCAGCCTCTGGGCATCCATTATTTCAGGTATGGAACAACTGGCTGGGAGCCTCTCTCTATTCTTCATGTTTTTAGGATTCTTTTCTAAATTATGATGTGTCTGACCTGTGTATCCCTGCACTAACCCCAGATTCTTGGATTTAAAGATGCTTTTTTGTTAATATTTAGAAGTTGTAAGTCACAATTCCTTCAGGTAATTTTTTTCAGCTTCTTCCTCTCTTTGGCATTCAGTTACACATATGTTCATGTATTCATTGGTGTCTCTCATGTCTCCAAGGTTCTCTTCATGTTTCCTTTTTCCCCAGTCATCATAAGGTATTTTTGTTTTCATGTGGTATAATCTTTATCCATCAATTATCATGCTTGTAATTCTTTACTTAGCCTGTTTGAATAAAACTTTATTGACTTTTTCATTCCTGTTCTTGTACCTTCTGTCTTCAGACTTCCCATTCCATTTCCTTCAGTAATTTACACCCTTCCATTGGCAATTTCTCGTTCATGATCTGTGGCTACCACTCCTTTCTGTTTCTTCATTCATCTTAGTCAAGAGTCTGAGGAGTAGGTTTTTCTACTTTTCTCTAAGCAGGGTCTCCTCTAGTCCGTTTAGTATGTTTGTAACAGTGACGTTCAAGTCATTGTTCATGTACATGGAAACCACCTGCAGAGTTTTGGTTGAGAAAGGTTGGCTCTCCCCATTTTTTTCCCCACACTTCATCTTTACAGAGCTGTTGGGGAATATTAGTTTAAGGTTGTTACTTTTGTTTGTGCTACATTTATTTAACTCTGTGAAGCTGTGCTACTCTGCCTATCTAAAACACCTGATGGTCCTAATAAAGAGCTGAATGGCCAATAGCAAGGCCGGAGAAAGAAAGAGGCAGGGCTGGCAGGCAGAGAGAATAAATATGAGAAGAAATCTGAGAGAGAGGATTCCAGGGGTTAGCCACTCAGCAACTCAGCTACACAGCCAGACGCAGCTTAAGGAAAGAAAAGGTATATAGGAATAGAGAAAGACAAAAAGTTCCGAGACCAAAGATAGATGGGATAAGTTCAGAAAAGCTGGCAAGAAATAAGCAAAGCTAAGACTGGGAGTTTATGAGTAATAATAAACCTCTGAGTGTATTTATTTGGGAGCTGGGTGGCGCCCCCCACCAAGACTAAAGAGCCAAAAGAAAAAACAAAACCAACAATTACAGAGCTCAGGACTTATTTCTGTTAATGTTGGAGATTTTAGGTGCAGCTTAAGACAATATTGTGGTTGATTTAATGTCAACTTACCACAAATTAGAATTACCTGAGTAGCTTGTCTCACTTGAAGAAGTGCCCCATTGCTTGATTGGATGCACGGAGACCCAAGGATTGTGGGCGGTACCTTCTGATGGTTAATGAGGATGAGGCAGCGGGAAGACCATCTTCTCCTTTGGCTTCTCTGCTTCCCTCTTGCTGCCAAGTCAGTCGGCTCCTTTTCTGCTTTGCTAATTGCTGATACCAGAGCAAGCATTCCCAAGCTTTTGTCACCAACTAGGGTGTCTCTCCAGGAAACTTCCGGGCTTCAGGCGGCATATTGGGACCATTAGACTACTCCGACTGCGGAGGAACCCAGCCTCAATTCTGAGTACCTTCCCAGGTTCTGGGCTCTCAGGTATGATTCTGCTGTTTACTGTGTTAAAGCTGATGTTATCAACTCTTTTATTTGTATTAAATAACATAAAATATTAAATTTCACACACACACACGTATCCATTCCACTAGTTCTGTCTCTAGAGAGTTAGCACTAATACAGTGTTCTCCCCTTTCCTCTGGCTGCCTTCCACATTGCTTCCTTGCTCGTTGGTGTAGTGACTTTGGTGGAATCTGGGTGAATTCTGTTTTCCCTGACATGTAAGCTCTGACTCATTTCTGCAGGCACCACATTGGACTCTGGGCTGCCAGTGAATTCCACAGAGCTCTCTTTGTTTCCTTCCCCATCTCTATTAAGTTCTCTGCCCTGTTGGCATCACATCCAGGTGTTAGACATCACTAATGTCTGGCTGGTGGCTCATATTTGACAACACCCAGGAACATACATTGTTGCAAAGTGCTACTAGTCAAATTCAAGTAGTATTAGAAGGGAAGTCTTGAGAGACAACCTTTGAGGTTTACTAAACCAGGGAAGGTCTGCCTAAGTTATCCCTTTCCCTGATTCTCTTAGAAACCAGCAGTGTATAGTTTAACTTGTTGCTCTCATAAAGTTATCTATCTGCCTCTTCTTAAGCATCTAAATCCAAACTCCCATTGCTCTTAAGAGTGCTCGACATCAAACTTCTAAGTGTATTTTAAAGATTTTTAAAGTTTTATTTGACATGATGAGTGCTTCGTGTGTGTGTGTGTGTGTGTGTGTGTGTGTGTGTGTGTGTGTGTCTGTAAACACACTGCATGTTTGTCTAGTGCCCATGGAAGCCAGGAGAGGGTGCCGGATCACCAGGAACTGGAGTTGCAGATGGCATGACCATCAGCTGAGTGCTGGGAGCTGAAGCCCTGGCTTCATCAGGAGCAACCCTTAGCTGAAGTGCCATCACTCCAGCCCTCCTGGGTGCCTTTTAAATAAAATCAGCACCTCTGGGAGGAGTTTTGGAGTGATGTCATGGGCTTCTCTCTTTGGGCAAATGTTTCATGTGTGCCTCCAGAGTTATTTGGTACAGGGACAGTTCACTTCTCTGAGTGGCAACCCTGTTTATGAGCAGGGTGTTGGGTGAGGCTGGCAGCCCTGGCATTTTCTGCTGCTTTTCCAGGTGCAACTCCCGCCTCGTGACTGAGCAGTTGTGAGGATAATTAAGCCCCTGTTCTCTTGGCTTTAGAGCACCCATCTTATGGGTGGGGTTGGATACAAGAAGGGACCCTTGACTTCTTTATGCGCTCATAGAAAAATTAGCCTTTGCATTCTAGAGCTAGTGGTGATGAGAAATGCTTCCAGCCTGCTTCCTAGTGAGAGAGCTGTGTCCCTCATGATCTAACGGACAAGGGAGCCCCACCATCTCAGCCATGTCTGCAACGTGCAGGACTCTTTCATGCCTGACACATCACAGACTCTCACAATACATATTGAGGTTTAGTAGGTCTTCCCTGAGTAAACATTTCTTCACAAGCCGGGCATTGGTGGCGAACACCTTTAATCCCAGCACTCGGGAGGCAGAGGCAGGCGGATCTCTGTGAGTTCGAGGCCAGGCTGGACCGACAGCCTCCAAAACAATACAGAGAAATCCTGTCTCGTAAAACAAACACACACACACACACACACAAACAAAAACAAAAACATTTCTTCACTGGTTCTATGTTCTTTGTTTTATTTTTGGAGACAGGGTTTTTCTGTGTAGCCCTGGCTGTTCTGGAACTCTCACCTAAAATTGTAAACTAGGCTGACCTTGAACTCAGAGATCTGCCTGTCTTTGCCTCCTGAGTACTGGTATTGAATGTGTGTATCACCACCACCCGGTTTGTATGCTCTTAAGACCATTTCCAGAGCCTGAGTTTCATTGTTTTTCATTTTACTTTGTGATATTTTTAACTAGGATTTTTATTTCCCTAGAGCAGGGCTGCAGAGTTTAACATGCCAATATTGAAATAAGTTCTCACACTAGTTTTATGTCTTTTAGGGGACATTAAGGATAATGTTTCTTATTCTCAGTAAATTTACCCATTCTGGTAGATTCAGTATGGTTTTAAAGTTTGAACACTTGGATCATAGGGATAAAGGCTAGGCTCTACTGCCCAGTCTACTCTGACGGGGGTGGTGCTATACCTTTTCCTAGGTACTGCTAGAAGAAGTCTGTGTTTTCCAAAGAAATCACCATGGTGTGAGTTAGCTAGGCAGTCCCCCCTGGTCAAGCCCATGAAAACAAAAACTGAAATCCTTGGACCATGCTATGTGAGTCAACTTTCTGTTTCTGGCAACATCTGGAATAACCAGGTTTTAAGAGAGGAAGGATTCATTTTGACTCACTTTTTAAAAGATTGTTAGTCTGTGATCAGTTGGCTCCATTGCTTTAGGGTCTGGGGCAAGATAGAGTATCAGGTCAGGGGCACTGAGGTAGAGGGAGGTTACATCATGGTAAACCAGGAAGCAGCACCAGAGATAGACAGATGATATATATATATATATATATTATATATATATACACTCATACACTGATAGACACACAAATAGATATAGATATAGGTAGGTAGACAGACGGACAGACATGTCATCAATCTTCCAATGTCCTAAAACCTCCTACCAGGCCCCCACCTGTTAGTATTACTTACAATAGTAGTATGTTGAAGAACAAGTCTTGGCACCTGGGTATTTCAAAGCTATTTCCAAATCTAAACTACAGCAGCAGTCACAGCTTAATTGCTGTAGACAGTCAACATCCATTTGTTTCCATGTGGTTACATCATCCCAGACATGCATCTGCACTAGTGATGCTGTATAAGGCCAAGGTGAGTCGTCCCTAATGAATAAGTTTATATGCAGAATAAGTGAATGGTTTTATTTTAAACTAGTAAGATTAGAAACATAGAACAATCTGCTAGGTAGCAACAGAAAACAAGAACATGTAAGAAACTCATTCACCAAATCTACCACATAGCTCTCCATCAAGCTCATTCCTTGGTTTATCTGAAGAACAGCTACACTCAGCAAGCTCAAGGGGAATTGGAGAATAAGGATGGTTATTAATACTACCGCATCCATGACTTCATCATGGGTTTATTTGTCTCTGGAATGCAGAAATAGGGGTGTACTGATGATTATCAAGGACATTATAATTTCTTTGGCTAAAGAAAAACCAAGAGGGCTGGAGAAATGGCTCAGTGGTTAAGAGCACTGGCTCCTCTTCCAGAGGTACTAAGTTTGATTCCCAGCATCCACATGATGACTCACAAGCATCTGTAATAAGATCTGATGCCCTCTTCTGGCATTCAGGCATACATGCGGACAGAGCACTCATACATAAAATATAAACAAATAAAAATTCTAGAAAAGATTTATTCAAAAAAATTAAAAGAAAAACCAAGAAAGGAAAAATCAAAGAAGCCCCACACAGAAAAGTAAGACAGGATAGGCTCCAAAGTTACACAGAGAAACCCTGTCTCGAAAAACCAAAACCAAACCAAAACAAAAAAGACATAAAATTGTAGTTTGATTTGTTGTTTGACAACAATTTCCAGTTGTCTCCAAGAGCCCAATATTCTGGTCACATCTTAATAAACAGTGTGACTTTAGGTTAGTCCTACCTTTATGGGTCTCAATTTCCTTGTATATAAGTGATGGAATTAGATTAAATCATTTCTAAGATGTTTTCCTGCTCTAGTGTTTACATTTTTTAAAAACACAAATCATCCCTGCAGCATCGTTAGTTCAGTCACCCATTTACTAGCTAGAATTAAGTAGATATCTACAGGCTAAGTGCTAAAATTAAAAGGATAAACAAGATGTGGGTCTCTTAATGAGATCATAGTTAAGAGATAATGTAAGTAACTAACTGTAATATAGTTTAATAAATGATGTTAAACATGTACAGAACAAATTATAGCTATGACTCAAATGTTTGCTTACATCTCTCAGGAATAGTGTCATACTACAAATACAAGTTCTCAAGAGAGCTTGCTTTCATAGCAAAACCATTCCCATAGTAGTCCACTAGTCCATAGCTATCAATGAGTTAGTCTACTCATCATAAACCTCCCTCTGAGAATCTCATCTCTCAGTATGGCTCCACTAGGAACCAGGTTTCCAGTACATGAAATTTGGGGAACACACTCAAGCCATGACTGTAAGCAGAGTTACCAGTCTCACTGTTGTTATTAATTATGGCCTTCTGTCATCTGAAGTGGGGCTTACTTTCCATCCAAAGCAAGTGCCTTCCCTGTGCTTCCCATAAACGTGCTCTATAAGTCTTTATTCATATTCATAACCACTTTGAACTCTTTTCTGACCCATGCTATATTTCTTATGACAGCACAAACAAAAGGTGAACATGTGAATGCACTTCACAGCATACAGGCTACAGGCAGCTCGACAGGCTGGAAAACATTGTTCCCAGGCAGTTCAGCTAGTCTAAGCCAGATGCTCAAAACTCAGCCCCTTCAAGCCACTCAGCTGGTCAGTGCTTCTTCTAGGCGGCTTGTCTAGTCTTGGTGTGTCTTTTGGCAGTCCTTACTGCTTATAGGTTTGGGAGGGAGGGTGTCTACTGTATCTGATCAGTTTCAGGGACTTCCTGGAGTCATTGGGTTGTTTACTTCCTGACTGTAAGCAGCGTCCCTGCAGGGTGGAATGTTTCACACACACACACACACACACACCCTTAGAACATCCTATTGCTTCACTTCCCTATTAACATCCTGTGTCTCAAGGAGCTTTCTTCCAAAATGAAGGTTTTAATCTCAGATGAAGTTGCAACATCTGTGTTTTCATCATATGGCAACCTCTGTCATGTCATGCTCTTATCTGGAAGACCTCACTAGAAGTCAAGACTATTGGACTCCCCAGAATTATGCACTAAATAAACCTGTGTTGTTATTTCATTTATCCAGTCTGTGTTCATAGCAACAGAAAATGAACTAAGATACTGAGTGCTTACTACATGCCAGGTACCATTTTATTTTATATTAGGCATTTAAAAA